TGGTCCTCCCAGATCTCCTTTTATTTTCCTAGTTCCATGAACTACGGAGCTTTGAATTCCTCATTACACCATGAGGGTACATAGACACTAGGGCCCCAATCCTCCGCGAGCATTTCTCTCTCTCTCTCTCTCTCTCTCTCTCTCTCTCTCTCTCTCTCTCTCTCTCTCTCTCTCTCTCTCTCTCTCTCTCTCTCTCTCTCTCTCTCTCTCTCTCTCTTATTTTTCTATTTTTAGCTAGAAGCTTTTAGATGGATGACTCATCCAAGCCTAGAAGCAAGCGAAGTGGTTCCCGTCGGGTACGACAAATGCGTAAGGTGCTAGTACATTCCTTTCGCATAACTAACCCCCTTTCTCGTTTCTATTCCCTTTGGATTTTATTGATATTTTCCCTGTTCTTTGGGACTAAATAAATTTTGGTGGCGACTCTGTTGTATCTTTGAGTGTGTGATTCACTAAGGTATAATCCCGCTAGCTTAGGTATGCATCATAGTTGGCAAGGAAAATCACAGCAGATATAGATTCAATGGCGAATCAACGTTTAAATTCAAAAAAATAAGAAAAAAGGACAACCAACCACGATGAACTTGTAATGTCACTACTGCTGTGAATGGAATGTTGTCGAGCTTGCGTTATTGTTATTTGAAGCAAAATTGAGGAGCTCGCCACTGGGTTATATGCCATTACCGCCGTGAAATATTGTTGCAAAGTCGAGTTTGAAAATGTCGTCGTTGTTGTCGTTCAAATCAGCGTAATAAGTTATGTTATTGTTTATGCTTCGAGTCGCAACCATTGTTATCGTTCAAATAAGCATAATAAGTTATGTTGTTGTTGATGCTTCGAGTCGCAACCGTTGTTGTTCGTTGTGTTGTTGGATCGGTGGGAAGCGTCGCGGATGTTGAACGGTGATGTGGTGGTCGCGAACCATTTGTAAATGACAAAAGGTGTGCAGATTGAAGGTGAGAGCTGAAGGGTTGAAAATGCGTCAGATTTTGTAGGTGATAGTGATTAGTGACGATGGAGGTTGAAGGGGGGTGGTATTGGTGAGGTTTAATATATGTGGTTTTCATTCAATGGAGAAAGAAGATGGATGAACAATGCGCATTCGGACTTAGGAAAAAAATGAAGATTGAAAATCTCAGAAAAGTTTTTAAGTTTTGTTTTTTATTTATTTAGAAAAAGGGAAGGTGGCATGAACCAAGAAGAATAGGATCGAAAATTCCTTCATCTTCTCCTTTTTCAATTTTTGCTTTTTGCTCCTATCTTAAGGAAAAATGGATCTATTTTTTACAAGTTATGCACCACTGATGTTTTGTTTCTAGGTCAATGAGTGTTTTGATATTTGACTTTTCTTCTTGATGAACATGAATGAGGCACAAATTGTTTGGTTTGTTGCCCATCCATGTTTTTCCATGCCATGCACAATATATAATATCTGATTTACTCATAAACTTTCCAAGGCAAAAACTTTAAAAGGAATTTAAAACAATTATTTTTGTGTTTTTTAAAAAATGAAATGTAATAACTAAATTAAATATAAAATAAACTTAAACTAAAAAACCTAATTAAATATAATTAAATTAAAAAAAGTTTAACTAAAAATCATAAATTAAATGGTTTAAAACGAAAAAAAAAGTCGGGTATCAGAGTTGTAAAAAAAATAAAATGAATGCATCAAAATAATCAGCACAAAATGAACAAATCAGAAAAATACAATGTTTGGTCAGATTTTAAAATAATTTTAGATCGGTTAAAAAACTCAGATTAATTAAAATGTGAATGAAAAAGTCGTCTAAAAAGGTGAGCACACCAGATTAATCTACATGAATCGTAGATTAATATTCCTGACGTCTGCAAGCTTAATTTTGACATTTTTTGTCCATTGATCTTATGCATAGTTAAAAGATTAATTCAACCGATTTGTCTGTATATCCGAAAATCTATTTTGCTTGATATTTCATGTTATGCCATACAAATGATGTAAAGTAAAAATAAAGTTAGATAAATGAAAAATTTTAAAAATGTCTGCACAACATTAGACTATGACAACATCACCATCAACCGCCTCGTCGGAGAAGGGGGAAACATTTTGTTCGTCTCTCTTTGTGGGAGTTATGTCTTCCAAAACCGGCATACCGTTGTCATTGTCGGCGTCATAGAGGGGAGTGAAGGCAGTTATGTGACCGTTGTTGTCGTCTTGATCAACCATGATTGATTTTTGAAGTTTTTCCTGCTTTGATATTTCAGTTTCATATAAAGGAAAGACGGGGGAGCAAGTTTCCCACAGCCGACACTATTGATCTAACTTGGTAGATCAGAACGTGACCGATAACACTTTTACAACATCAACAGTCAGCAAAAGTGGATGGAGATGAGGGGGTATCTGCAGGCACTCCGACGCTCAAGTAAATTCAGGCGAAGTGATAACAAGTAAAGTGATAATTGAATAGCTGACCCTCATCCAAAGGAGGGTATTTATAGTGAGCCCCAAATGCAGAGCCAACAATCTCTATTATGGTCTGAGTGATCAGGCCCATAATGGATGACTGCCAGAATTCCTACGTGGAGGCAGGGATGAGCAACTTGTGCTCATCATCTTGGGTCAACTGCTTCGCATTATTTGGAAAGTGGAAGACCTGCCTGTTACGAAGGACATAAAGTTTTTGCGAGATACGCGAGATTAGTCGGCCACGTGCCCTCGGGTGAGGAGCACGTGGGGAATGTGCTCTCCAACGACTATAATGAATTCGGCCTTTACGTTGGGCCTTCTTCGACACGAAGTTGGACTTGGCTGTGCCCGACGCTGGTCAGGCCCAGGGCCAGTCCAGAACAATTATATATATATATATATATATATATATATATATATATATATATATATATATATATATATATATATATATATATATATATATATATATATATATATATATATATATATATATATATATATATATATATATATATATATATATATATATATATATATATATATATATATATATATATATATATATATATATATATATGAGAAAATAAGAAGCAAAAAGAATGGAAAACAATGCAAAATTTTTAGATTTTTAATGTATAGGTCGACCTATGCAAGTCGTGTGTCGACTTGTAGAGGTGACACATCTAATTGAGCTTACAGTCTTTAAAATTACAACATATGAGTCGACCTATAAAATGGATGTGTCGACACATAGACAACTTTTCTTCTATATGCCGACCTGAAACATAGGTGTGTCGACACATAAAGATATTCTTCTTCTAAATGTCAACCTGAAACATGTATGTGTCGACACATAGCTCATTTTTCCCCATAAAAATGAGTTTTTTGATACATAAATCTATTTCTTTATGGATGATTTTTTCTAAACTTTTTTCAACATGTTGTCATGCTTCCTAATGCTAAAATGCACAACTAGACTCAAATGATATCGTCCAATCTACATAATCGATAAAATATCTTAGTTTTGACATCATTCAAAATATATCTAATCAGAAAATTACACTCACATACTCCCCATTTTTGATGATGTCAAAACTTGAGACAATGCGTTTCGTGTCCATGTCCATGAAGGCTCCCCATAAATGTACGTATCATAACTGCATATGTTTCTCCCTCTTTGACAACATCAAAAGGAGATAAAACAAGCACATTAGCAATATCACATAGACACAACATAACACATATACAATACACCATACAAAGGCGTTTGCAAAGATAATAGTGTGCACTCACATATAAGTAACATACATAAAGATATATAATAAAAATAGAAACATCATTAATAGCCAAACAACATTACATAATTTCCATCTAAGGCAATACACTTAGTATAACTATTATCTCATATTCAAACAAATTAGTAACATTGTCAATACATAACCAACAAAAGAAAAAGTGCATAAAAACTCAAAATACGACTCAAAGAAATGCACTGCAAGACATAAGACTCAAAGACACAACAACATAACACTTCATCTTCTTCCACGACCCATTGGAATTGGTCTTATTCCCCTATGTCATCCTTGTCCATCATTATCATAGTTATAATTAATTATAATATATTATTTTTATTTTTATTTCAGATGCTTATGTGTCAAAAGAATTAATTTTAATTGGGTGAGAGTATAAAATAATTTTATACTGATATTATATTTTAATTAATCTTAATGTTCAATACATTTCACATATTTATTTTAAAAATAAACGTACAATAAAAAAGCATTTTAATTTTTGTGTGTTTATCTTTAAAATATTGAAGCTTCTTTTTATTCGGACGTTACTTTAAATTCTTTCACATATTTAATTTTCTATCACGTTTCTTTGAAAATTTTACTCAAATAACTAATATTTTCAAATAAATATCCAAACCAACCTACTTTTCCAAACTAACCCACTTTCAAAAAAAAAAATTTAACAAAGAGGAGTCGCCAATCTAATTGACGACAATGTACAAACACATAAAAACCGTGGTCAGTCCAATTAACGACAATATACAAACTCAGAGGATAGAGAATGTACACTATCACCAATTAGATGAACAACTGCTCTAATATATTTGTACAGCTCTAATATATTTGTACACTATCAGCAATTGAATTGACAGTTTCTTTTTGTTAAATTTTTTTTTTTAAAGTGGATTAGTTTGAGAAATACGTGGAAAAATGGATTAGTTTGATTATTTATTTTAAAAAATTGTTATTTTACTAAAAAGTTTCTGCCTCTTTTTGTTTTTTATAATAAATATTAACAATAAATTTATCTGATTAAAAAGTTTAAATTTTTTGAATAATAAAATTTGAAAGATAATTTGAATTTAATAAATTCGAAGTCACTACTGGGTCATCTCAAAGGCCCATTCCGAAATTATTAAATTAAGAAAGAGCGGGTAGTCTAGATATAGGCATCAGTATTATTTAACACGAGTCACACAAGCACTATGAACAAATGAACACTCTGTGAGAGAGGAAGAAAAAAAAGAAGTGAAGCAACGATGAGTACGGTTGACAAGATGCTCATCAAGGGCATCCGAAGTTTCGATCCTGAGAACAAAAACGTCATCACCTTCTTCAAACCCCTAACCCTAATCGTCGGTCCCAACGGTGCCGGCAAAACCGTAAGTTCACTTCATTGCATTTCAAAACAAACACTCTATATCACTCTCAATCAATCAATCAATCTCACACATGCATTTTCTACAGACAATCATAGAATGCTTGAAGCTTTCCTGCACCGGTGAGTTGCCGCCAAATGCTAGGTCCGGTCACAGCTTCATTCATGATCCCAAGGTTTCTTTCTCTCACCGATATTTTTTTTGTCATTACTGATTTTATATCGATTATACTGTGTTGTTACCGTTTTGCATTTGTTCCGTATGGATAGGTTGCCGGTGAAACGGAAACCAAGGGACAGATTAAGCTCCGGTTCAAAACCGCCGCCGGTAGAGACGTGGTTTGCATAAGGTCTTTTCAACTCACGCAAAAAGCATCCAAGATGGAGTACAAAGCAATTGAGAGTGTGCTTCAAACTATTAATCCTCATACCGGCGAGGTATCATTCTTCAATCCACATTCATCTTTATATTCGTATTATGCTATAACTTATCTACTTGCTCAATTTGTTTATGTTTTGGTGTATATAGTTTGACAAACAATACAATTAATTTGAATTATTTGCTATGGACTGCTAGAAAGTTTGCCTTAGCTATAGATGTGCTGATATGGATAGAGAGATTCCTGCGCTAATGGGTGTTTCTAAGGCCATTTTGGAAAATGTTATATTTGTTCATCAAGATGAAGCCAATTGGCCACTCCAGGATCCTTCCACGTTAAAAAAGAAGTTTGATGATATCTTTTCAGCTACTCGGTACCATCTTTTAATCCCTCTTTTCATTTTGTCACACTTTCGTCTTTGCTATCACAATTCAAATTTTGTCACACTTTCGACATTGCTATGTGATAACATCATATTATTTCATTTGTTCTATTTTAATAAAAATTATTGTTTGGCTTTACATTGTCCCATTCAATTCACCAATTTTTCTCTTCAAGCTCACACTGGTAATATATCAGATAAACTTTTTTACAAATTCCAATGTGTTATAAAGTTACTTTGTATAATAAGTAATTGCCTGTCAACACCTATGAGCTCTCATGCTTTACTCAAAAGAGCTAGTTGGAGTCATAGTAGGTTGAGGATGTCTATCCTTGATTCAACACACTTCCACCCAAGTGTCAGAGCATATACTTTTACTTTTTCTCGAATGATAGTAATTTATTTTTATGAAACTCTTGATTTAATTGTTTATTTTTCATGAAATCTCTTTCTTTAATGTTGATGTTTAGTTTTCCACGTATTTTTTGGAGTCCTACATCTTTTATGTGGTATAGGGATTCAGAATAAACCTTCATAGTATACCACTTCTAGAGTAGCTCTTAATGCACATCTGTTCTTAGACTAGATTTTATCATGACAAATGCAATTCAAGGAGCTAGGATATCTGATAAGAAAATATTTAAGTGATTTTTGTATTTGTAGCAATCAAAACACGAGTCATGTAGCAATCAAAACACGAGTCATGACCATCTTCAATTGCTGCTTTTGCCTTTCAATTCTTTCCAATTTAAAATACTATATGGATTATGTTGAAAATGCTTTTGATTTTGACTTAGAGTTGGCAGTCATTGTGTACTCTTGTATTGAGCAGTTACACAAAGGCACTGGAGGTTATAAAGAAACTTCACAAGGATCAAGCTCAAGAAATAAAGACTTACAAGCTGAAACTAGAAAATCTTCAAACTCTGAAAGATGCAGCTTATACGGTCACTTTCTTTTCCAAAAATTAAGAACTCTAAATCAAAAATAAATGCAATCACATGAAGTGTTTAAAAATATTTATACTTCTTTTTTGTTGGCTATAACTGAACACCGTACTGTATTATTTCAATTCTATTGCATATGAGGAATATTTTTATATAAGCAAGACACACTTCTATTGCATAGGAGGAATATTATTATATATGCAAGACACACTAGCATTTCTATATTATTATAAGCACATGGTTTTTATAACTTTTTCCAAAAAAATGTTCCTGTTTCTTTCCTACATCTTTCAGCTGTTCCAAACAATGTATAAATAGATTATTCTCTCCCTAAATTGGAAATACTTTCCAATCACCCCAATGTCTCGAAATAGTTGGAAAAGATAATCTAATTACTATTTTATTTTCTTATAGCTTCGGGAAAGCATTGCACAGGATCAGGAGAAAACAGAATCTCAAAAAGATCAGATACAACAGTTGGATGGAAGCATTAAAGATTTGGACACTAAAATTGGTCATGGGGAAAAAACATTGAAACATTTGCTGGAGCTGCAGAAGCAAATATCAGCTAAAACTACAGAACGAAGCACTCTATTAGAGGGACAAGAAAGGCAACATGCTGATCTAGCTGAGGAGTATGAAGGTGTGTAAGTGTTGACCATGGTATATGTATTACATTATCAAGTTATCCTTATTAAATTTTCTCATAAATGGCCATCATACTATATTGTAAGTTTATCATTCTTCTTCTTCTTCGTTTATTCATTAGAAACTGATGAAGAGTTGATGGAAATGAAGTCCAAGTTTGATGAAAGGATTAAAATTTCAAGTTCACAAATAAACAAGTTGGAACGAGAGAAGAATGACATTAGCATAAAAAGTCCTACCCTTAGAAGGGCCATCAATGAGTCTATCGGGGAGATCAGCAAGCTACAAACTGAAGAAGAAGTAAATGAGTTGATACACTGGCAATAATGATATCTTGTATTGAATGTTGTTGTAATTTTGTCTCTGATTCAAACTGCAGGCTCACATGTCTCTGAAGAATGAACGAGATACTTGCATTCAAAATATTTTTTCCAGTTATAACTTAGGGTCTCTTCCAAAGCCACCCTTCAGTGCTGCAGATGGTTTGAACCTCACTAATCGTATAAAAACAAGGTTGAGGGATCTTGAGAAGGATCTTGAAGATAAAAAGGTGACTCTTCTGTTCGCCCTTTTTGACTCTTCTGTTCGCCCTTTTAAGCGCCTTTGGTTGGACAGAAATTGGGAAATGGAAGATTGTAAACGATGATTCTTCCTACTATAATTTTTTTGGATAAAGCATCTCTCCTATCTTCTTCATGATACTCGACTAGTATAGGGTTTCCTTGCTGGATATTCAGAGTTTGGCATTCTTTGCTCAGTTGATGTTAATCTTTGATCAGGTGTTTTCTTTAGAAGGATGTCATACCATGTGGTCCTGTCCTTTTGTCATATTCTCAAGCTTAATTTGTTTTCTTGTTTAAACATTCTGGCTCTCTAAATAGACCGTATGTTCATGAGTATATGAGTTGTTATCTCATGGGTTGCTTCTACAAATAATGAGCAGCCTGTATTACTTAGTGTCTTGATCTGTTAGATAGAGTGTGCCACCTCAGCATTTAAAGGTGTACCACGCCTGCTCTGGTAGTTATTAACTGGCAAGCTTGCAGCGAAAGTTTTTTAGTGCTGGGTGCAGGTTTATCCCCAGCTGAGTGTAGGATAAGCATTCTATAATAAATCTTGTAAATCTCTAAGATTTATCATTAGAAAGAATAATCAAGGAATTCATGAAATTCCAAATTAGTTGTCTCATTTTCTCTCTATTAACATGGTATCATAGAGCTTTAGGTTAGGATCTATGACATTCGAATCTGCAGAAATATACTTTATATTTTCTTGTATTTTATGAGAATTACATAAATCAGGGGAGTTAATTTTCCCATAAATGCTAATTCTAATTACAGTAAAAACAGGAAATAATAACTAATTAATTACATTAGTCCTAATCCTAATGAGCTGTACAAACAGAATCATTTGATTTTGTATTGATTATTCCACACTCCCCCTCAATCTGGGTGGTAGATGTCTATCATACCCAGATTGGATCTGATATTCTCGTATATGTTCCTTGGAAGGGCTTTTGTTAGAATATTTGCAGTTTGCTGGCATGATGGAATATGGTTAACACTTATAATTCCATGATCAATTTTCTCCTTGATGAAGTGTCGGTCTATCTCTACATGCTTTGTTCTATCATGCTGAACTGGGTTCTTCGCAATGCTTATAGCAGCCTTGTTATCACATAATATCTTCATAGGATGTTTGGTAGGAATTTTGATTTCACCTAGCATTCGCTTAAGCCAAATTCCTTCACAAATACCTTGTGACATAGCTCTGAATTCTGCTTCTGCGCTACTCCTAGCCACAACAGACTGTTTCTTGCTTCTTCAAGTTACCATATTACCCCATACAAATGTGTAGTAGCCTGTAGTCGATTTCCTGTCAGATAGACATCCTGCCGAATCTGAATCAGTGTAGACTTCAATACTTCTGTTTGAGTTCTTTTGAAAATAGAGTCCTCGACCTGGCGTACCTTTTAGGTACTGGAGAATTCTGTCATTTCTCATGTTAGTTTCAGTTGGATTTGACATATAACGACTAGCCATGCTTACAGCAAAACCAATGTCTGGTCTGGTGTGAGTTAGATAGATTAGTTTTCCAACTAGACTTTGGTATCTATCTTTATTAGCTGGTATATTCTCATCTTCACTCCTTTTTATTTGTTCTATGGGAGTATTGGCAACTTTGCATCCAAGCATACCTGTTTCTTGAAGTAAATCCAAAGTGTACTTCCTTTGAGAAACTGAAATACCATTCTTTGTCCGTGCAATTTCCATCCCTAGAAAATACTTGAGCTGTCCTAAGTCTTTGACTTCAAATTCTTTGGCTAGAAGTTTCTTTAACTGGTTGACTTGTTCATCATCATCTCCCGTAATTACGATATCATCAACATAGACAATAAACAAAACTATCTTCCCATCCAAAGAGTGCTTGACAAACATAGTATGGTCTGTTTGACATTGAACAAAACCATCTTGCTTGACAACTTTTGTTAGTCTGTCAAACCATGCCCTTGGTGATTGTTTGAGGCCATATAGAGATTTTCGAAGTCGACACACCATGTTGGAGGTCCCGGGTGATTCAAGTCCGGGAGGAATTTTCATATATACCTCTTCTTCTAACTCACCATTTAGAAATGCATTCTTTATGTCTAGTTGGTACAGGGGCCAATCTAGATTTACTGTCAGAGATAGTAGAACCCGAACAGAATTGAGCTTCGCAACAGGTGCAAAAGTCTCCTCATAATCCACCCCATATGATTGTGTGAACCCCTTAGCAACCAACCGAGCTTTGTACCTATTTATACTCCCATCAGCATTGTACTTAATTGAAAATATCCACTTGCATCCTACTGCTTTCTTCCCTTCTGGTATAGCGGTGATCTCCCATGTGCCACTTCTTACAAGTGCTTGAACTTCTTCTGTTACAGCTGCTGCCCATTCAGCTTTCTGCAATGCTTCTTGAATATTATTTGGAATTTCTATGTTGTCAACAGCTGCTACAAAAGACCTGTAACTTTGTGATAGTTTTCCATAGGAGATATATTTTTCAATAGGGTGTTTGGTGCATGTTCTAACCCCTTTTCTCATAGCAATAGGAATATCCATATCTGCTGTATTTATAACAATATGTTCAGAGTTAGGGAGAATATTACCGGTGGGAACTTCATTTTCTAGAGCTTGGTTGGACTCATGGCCTTGCATTGGAGCTATACTTGACTCTACTTCCTTCCTCCTCCTTTTATAAACCTTCCAGTTACCTGTTTTTGGATCACAATTTTGTTGATGTGTGGTTGAGACTATAATTGGTCCGGTTTCCGTCACAGCTTCTGTTGTCCTTTCACTCGGCTGAATGTTAGAGGTTTGGTTTAGTAATTTTTCAGCTGGTTTAGGCATAGGTTCGGTTGATTGAGTGTTACCGGTTTGGTCTGGTAAGATTTTTTCATGTTTGGTTAGTTCAAGAGGCAAAAGTTGGTATTCTGAATTTTCAATACGATCTATGTATGATTGCTCCCCCTGAATACCAATTTTGGTGTAATAGGGCTGATTTTCAAAGAAGGTTACATCCATAGTGTGGTAGAATTTTTTGGTATGGGGAGAGTAACACCTATAACCCTTTTGGTGAGGAGAGTAACCAAGAAAAATGCATTTGATGGATTTTGGGTCTAATTTGCTTTCGTGAGGGTTGAGGTTATGGACAAAAGTTGAGCATCCAAATATTTTTAATGGAATAAAGGAAAAGATTTTGCTGGTTGGAAATAGGTTTTGAAGTGTGGAGAGTGGGGTCTTAAAGTTAAGGATATGGGAAGGCATTCGATTTATAAAGTGAGTTGCTGAAAGGACAACTTTTTCCCAAAAGTGTTATGGGACATTTGTGGCCAACATGATTGATCTAGTCACTTCCAAAAGGTGTCTATTCTTCCTTTCTGCTACTCCATTTTGTTGGGGAGTGTCCACACACAAACTTTGGTGAACAATTCCAACCTTTTGAAGGTAGGAATTTAGAGCAAGGTTGTAATACTCACGACCATTGTCAGTTCTAAGTATCTGAATATTGCTTTGAAATTGTGTTTGTACCATCTTATGATAAATTTCAAATATTCTCCCTACTTCTGATTTTTCCTTCATTAGAAACACCCATGTAATACATGTGTGATCATCAATAAAGGTGACAAACCATCTCGAGCCAGTAATGTTGTGGACTCGTGATGGTCCCCATACATCACTATGAATTAATGAAAAAGGTTTGGATGGTTTATAGGATTGGGGTGGGTAATGGTTTCAGGTATGTTTAAACAATTGGCAGATTTCACATTGAAAATGTTCCTTGTTTTTATTGAATAACGAGGGAAAAATCTTTTCCAAGTACATGAAATTTGGGTGGCCTAATCTATAGTGCCACATCATTACAGAATTATTATCATTTGAAACTGCAGCTGCAACATGATAGTTATTATTGAGTTTTTTCTTTGATTTTTCCACTTGGAGGAAGTAGAGTCCATCACACTCTTCAGCATTGCCAATCGTCTTCCTCGACTCCAAAATCTGAAATTCACACAAGTTAGGGAAGAATTTAGTAACACATTTCAAATCTCTTGTAATCTTGCTAATGGACAGCAAGTTACAATTAAGTGTAGGCACATACAAAACAGAGTCAAGAGTAATATTTGGTGAAATTATAATTGATCCTTTACCCATGACCTTAGAATGTGTACCATCGGCTATTCGAACATTATAGTTATAGGGACATGGAGAATAACTATTAAACAGGGTGAAATCTCCACTTATGTGATCTGAGGCCCCTGAGTCAACAATCCATGATTTTGTTTTTTCTTTACTAGTGTTTAGAGCATGTAAATAATTACCTCTTTGAGCCACTACAGCAGTACCACCTTTTTCTACGGTTAACATAGTTTGCTGAAGGAGTTTTTGAAGAGCCTCCATTTGTTCTTTGCTAAAAGGAGATGAGTTAGAGTATACCTCAGCTTCTTGGTTGTTAAATGCTGTGTTACCTTTGCCCTCCTTGCCTTTGAACAATTTTGCCTCCGAAGGTTTTCCATGTATGGTCCAACATGTTTCCTTTGTGTGGCCTGGTCTCTTGCAGTGATCACACCAGGGGTGGTTTTTCTTTTGTGATGGTCGAGGTTGATTCCCCCTTGCTGCCATTGCAGAGATCTCGCTGTACGGAACTGAGTTGGGTGTCCCCAACATGATTTTCCTCTTGCTTTCTTCCCTTCTCACTTTTGAAAAGGCTTCTCGAATTTTGAGAAGTGGTTTGGTTCCAAGGATCCTTCCACGAACTTCATCTAGGTCCTTGTTTAGTCCCAATAGGAATTTGTAAATCCTATCTTTTTCCACCAATTCCTTATATTTCTTTTTATCTTCTGTACAACACCATGTAACCTCTTCATATATGTCCAGTTGCTGCCACTGTTTGTTAAGTATGTTAAAATACTCGGTAACAGAAGATTCTCCTTGTCGAAGGTCATGAAGAATGCTTTTTATCTCAAATACGACAGATGTATTGTCAACATTTGAGTACGTTTCCTTCACTGCATCCCATATCTCTTTTGCAGTGTCATAGAACATGAAATTTTCACCAATTTCATTTTTCATGGTATTGAGCAGCCATGACATTACTTGGCTGTTCTCAAGTTTCCATTTCTGAAATTTTTTGTCTCCTTCCGCAGGACATTTAGAATCTCCCGTGGTGTAGCCTTCCCTTCCTTTTCCTTCGAGGAAGATCTTGACTGACCTTACCCATTGGGTATAGTTTTGACCATTTAATTTATGGCCTGTGATGAGGTGAGTGATCCCTTCGTGTGAACTGGTCGGAAATGATCCAGTCTCCACTTTAAGCGATTCATCAGATTTAGGATCCTCCATAGTTTGGCGGCACTAGGTTAGGGATGGTTCAGATCGTGCTCTGATACCATGCAGAAATATACTTTATATTTCCTTGTATTTTATGAGAATTACATAGCAGTATTTATAGAATACATAAGGCAGAATTTGGAAGGGAAATCTGTCCTAGAAATTAGGGGAGTTAATTTTCCCATAAATGCTAATTCTAATTACAGTAAAAACAGGAAATAATAACTAATTAATTACATTAGTCCTAATCCTAATGAGCTGTACAAACATAATCATTTGATTCTGTATTGATTATTCCACAGAATCCAATCCTCCGCCACCACCTACTCCAACACTAGTTGTTCATTCTATTCCGGTAAGTATGCTTCTTCCATTTCCTGAAACCTATGAAGCATGAGAACTTCTAAAATGATGAAGTACAAGTACCTGATACGCACCCGTACCGGGTACACGTACCGTACTCGTGGTACTTCTTTTTTCTTATTATTCGGTTTTGAGTGAAGTTGGTGGTTTTCTCCTATATCAATCTAGTATATTTATGTATTTTAATTTCTTTATCATTGTATCTTAACACTATTTTTGATTTTTTAAAACTTTTGTAGTGATATTTTATTGTGAACTGAACAATTTAGTTCTCTACTCGTACATTTTATAAAAAACCTCCATTTTTTATTAACGTACCCATACTTTGAATTTTTTAAAATGTCGTATCTCGTTTCAGTACCGGTACCCGTACTGGATACAGTACCCGTATCTATGCATCATAGCCTGAAACGAGTTCACCTTGTGTGAAATTTCAACTGAAGATATCTGGAAAGCTTGATGAGAAGAGTTTCTTAGTTTGGCATCAATAAGTTGAGCCAGTAATCAATGTGCACAATATCCAAAACTTCATGTATTTTTGCAGAAGTCCCTCCACAATTCCTTTTGCGTTTGGAATAATCCTTGAATGTTGAAAACCCAACTTATCATGCATGGCTTCTTCAAGATCAGTGGCTTATCTTCTGGCTTCAATCAACCCTCTCGTTCCATCATGACGCGTGTTCCAGGATATGTTCATGCATATGAACTCTGGGAATACATTCATGCACATTTCTAGAAACTCACGCTCAAAAGCTTGAAAACTACGTTCTACTATTCTTTTGCTTATCACACGGTTGAAGTGTATCTTCTTTGAATCAAAGCGTTGGTTGATTCTCTTGCCCCCTTGGTGATCCCTTTCCATCGTAGCAACACATTGATGTGGTTTTAGAAGGAATGCCACGGGATTTTGGACTGATTGTCTCTGTCATTGAGAGGAAGTTTGACCTTGTTCAACTCGTAGAGGTTGAAGCTCTGGTCCCTGTACATTGAAAACATAAAAAAGTCACTTCAAGATGAAACTGCTTTTGTTTACCTAATTCAGGCGAAAGTCAATGGTGACTCCTCGTCATGTCTTCCTGACTCTACCTCTAAGTGAACTCATCTTACAATTGTGCCTTCTAAAGACAAACCTTCCACTGGTGGTACCATCCCTAGCTATGGTGGTGCTAGCTGTGATCGTGGTGGCTGTTTTGGCAACTTACAATATTAGGTGTGCTTCAAGTACAATCACTTAGTTGCTATCTTTTATTATCCCGTCAATGAGCGGTTTCACATGGCAAGGCCTCATGATTTTCAAGGTTTCTAAGGCCTCAAGGCTCCCTTCCTTTAAACTTTTGGGATCACGCTTTTCTCACTGTTTTTTACCTCATTAGTAGGCTCTCTTCTACTTTTATTGGTCAATATATTCCCTGCTCTATCCTCTTTAGTCATGGTCCTGACTTTAAGTTCTTCAAAGGTTTTTGGTTGTGCTTGCCCCTATCTCCCCAGGCCCTATAATACCCATAAACTTGGTTTTTGGTGTCATGAATGTCTCTTTCTTGAGTATTCTACATCTCTCAAAGAGTACAAGTGTCTTCCCCTACTAGTAGACTTCATATTTCAAAGGATGATTTCTTCGATGAGTATGGGTTTTCTTATCTTGGACTTTTTCCACCCACTTTGTCTGCTCTAAAAAGTTCCCCTAAACTTGCCTCTCTCAATCCTGTTCCCCTAGTCTCACTTATTCCTCAAACTAGCCTACCTTCCTCACCGATCTTCTCCTCACAATCTTGACCAAGTTGCTCTACTGGCACTGATTCAGTGCAGCCTTCCCCTTCTACCTCCTCCCTTGCTCCTGCACCTATCCGTAGCCCATCCCGTCCTACTCCTACCTCACCACTTACCTTTCCTGCAACTATTCTCTCTCCTCAACCCCAACCAACCAATACTCAACCCCAACCAACACTCATCCTATGCAAAACAGAAACAAATCTGGTATCCCTCTGCCCCATGTTCACCCCTTGGTCTTCTTAACCACTTCCGAGTCCAAATCAGCTGAACAAGCTTTTAAGGACCCCAAATGGTTTGCTGTCATGACAGAGGAGTATGAAGCCTTGCAAGAGAACCAAACCTGACTCAATTTCATAGATTTGATTTTCATGAGACTTTCTCCCCTGTTATTAAACCAGTGACCATCAGATCAATTCTGACTCTTTCCCTTACCAGTCACTGGGATATCCTGCAGCTTGATATTAACAATGCCTTCTTAAATGGGCTTCCTAGATGAAGTGTATATGAAGAAGCCTTATGGTTTTGTTTCTGGGGATCCTATTCTGGTTTGTCTCCTGCACAAGGCTCTTTATGGTCTCAAGCAAGTCACAAGACAGTTTGAAAGGCACAAATGCACCTGACTTGAGGTTGGTTTCACAACAGCAAATGTGTCCCATCTTTGTTTATTTTCAAGTCTCAGTTGTCAGCAGCCTACTTATTAAACTGTTCAATTTAAACCAGTGACCAATCCATTACAAGTAACTTGCAATGTTTTTGCTCTCAAGCAACATGGCACCCTAGGTTATTTTCTTGGTATTGAAGTCAGAAAACAGCCTGCTGGCTCCCTGTTTACTAAAAATGAGTACATTCTTGACTTCCTGGTCCAAACTACTTTGCAGGATCCCAATCTCATCTCTACCCCTATGGCCACTAGCTCTAAGTTGTCCGAAGCCGTGGCTCATCTCACTTCAGGATCCTTCTCTGTATCATTCTGTTGTGGGAGCTCTGCAGTATGCTACTATTACCAGGCCAGAGATCAATTACTCTGTTAACATGAGTCAGTAGTATATGAGCAATCCCTTGGATGCTTGCTCATTTGAATGAAGAAGGATCCTACGGTATTTGAAAGGCACTACTCACTATGAACTGCTCCTTTCCCATGCCTCTGCTCAGCACCCTCTATCCTTAACATGACTCTGATGCAGGTTTTGCTTCTAGCCCTGATGATACAGGTTCACCTCTAGATATGCTATTTTCTTTGGCCCCATCCAAGTTGATTTTCTGGTGGTCTCGCAAACAATATGTGGTAGCTACTAGCTAGATCTAGTGCTGAGTTGTGGGTGCAGCCTCTTTTGCATACGCTCAAAATTGATTCACCCTCCTGTCATCTACTGTGATAACCAAAGCACTGTTGCCATGGTTCACAATCCTGTCCTTTGCGCCAGGACCAACACATGGAGATTGACTTGGATTTTGTTTGTGACAAATGTCTTAACCTAGCAGCTGTGTGTAACCCATATTCCTGGCACAGATCAGACAACAGATATTCTAACCAATCCTATCTCCTTTGCTTGGTTCCTGAAGTTGCACAACAAGCTCAATGTGGTTGCCTTGGTTCTTCAAACTAATCCACCAGTGTGTGTGTGAATATATGAGTAGTTATTTCATGTGTTTCTGATACAAATAAGCAGCTTGTATTACTTAGTATATTGATCTGTTAATTAGGAAGTGCCATCTCAGTATTTAAAGGTGTGGCACCTCAGCTCTAGCTGTGTTATAACTGCCGAACTTGCTGCGGAAGTTTGATAGTGCTGGGTGCAAGTTTAGTCCCGGCTTAGTTAGGACAAGCACTCTATAAAACTTGTAAATCTTGAAGGAAGATTCATCATTAGAAAGAACATTCCAAAGGAGAAATTCCAAATTAGTTTTCTCTCATTCTCTATTAAAAATGTTCAAATTATTTTCATCATTTCTTAAGGAAGAAAACAACATTATTCTTGAATTTTAAATCTGTTAGTTTTGTTATAAATATCCTTGAGACCTCTGAACAGGACTGACTTTTTTTTGCTTCTTTTCTGCAGAAAGCAAATAAAACTGAACTCAAAATGGCATGGGATTCCTACTTGAGTGCAAGTGAAAGCTGGCAAAATACTGATGCTAAACTACAAACTAAGAGAGAGAACAAGGTTTAGTGTTTGAATCAGTCCATTGCTTGTCAAATGCTTTTTCTTTATTAAAAAACTAAGTTAATTGTTTGTTGTCCATGAAGGATGGAATTATGAAGCGCTTTGAAGAGAAGAACGACGAGCTTGAGTCATTTGAACTTGAAATATCTAATATAGATGTTTCTCATTTAGACGAGCGAGAAAGAAAATTGGTGAGTGCAAGTTACTCTTTGGTGTTGTTTGGCAGTTTACATCTTCAATTTTAGACATCTTACAAACCTGGTAACCTAATTTCAAGTAATGCTTGCAGCAATTTCAGCTGGAGAGGATGACCAAGCAACGTGATGAAAGAGAATTTGAACTAAAGAAAAGTCAAATTGAAAAGGAAGTCCTTAATGTGGAGCAAAAGATTAAAGTTGTCAATCGAGAGTTTGCCGCCATGGCTACTGATTCAATAGAGAGAGGAAGATTATCTGCTATGAAGTTAGATTTGGAGACAAAGAAAAAACAACATAAAAAGATGTAGATCAATTTTATTTTCCCCTCTTTCATTAACTTCTTTTTTCAGAATTAAACCTTTTGAGCAATTTACAGAATTGATGGCCAGAAAGATAAAATAAGAAGTGCACTACAAGGGAGGTTGCCTCCTGATAAGGACATTAAGAAGGAAATCACACAAGCATTAAGGTTGGAAAACCTTCTCTTTGATTATGTATGTCTAACTTGTAGATTTATCATTTAGAAATTTCACTTTTAAGTGTTACCGTACCTAGTCTTTTCTACTTCCAATTGAATCACAAGAAATGTGCTGGGATTTCTCTTTCTCTCTGGCAGTTTGACTATTGGATCTGGTTCGCTCAGTTATATGTATGCATGAATTGCACTGTTTTCTTGATTATACTATTCCTTTTCCAAGTTATTTTAAATTTAACAAGCCAGACTGGTCTAGTAGCTGTTTATCTATTCATTATCTTCTGATGCAAGTATCTGTTGAAAGTAGACAAGAGGGAAAAAGTTAAAGGTTACTTATCTTGCTACTTTAAAATAAAAAGCAGAACTAAAACTAAGTTGGTTAACGGAGTTCTGCATTCCCTCTAAAAGTTAGAAAAATGAACTCCTTAATGAATCATGGAGCAGAAAACCACAGAGAAGCTTTAAAAAAGCTCTTAAATTTTAGGATCTGTATTTGAAATATTAGAGGAACTGAGGAACTGAAAGTGTATTATTTCAGTGTAAAAAGAGTTGTCTTTAAACAATTCTCTTTTTATGGGAGAAGGTACATAAAGTCAATTCATCAAATCAAGGAGTGATATAATAATATTGAAATGAATATTAATTATAAATGCTAATGATATTCTAATATTCATGGACACCCTGCTCATGTTGGTGCCTAGATATCTATACTGCCCAACTTATTAGACACTTTAAGGTTGATCTTGCAAAACTCTTGGTTAAAATAGAGCTGTCTATCTATTTGAGGGCACAAATGGAAAGTAGAAAATTCCAAAATAATTTGTTTCTTGGTAAATGCTACTCCCTCTGTCTCATAATAAGTGTCTGATTTAAGTTGCGTGGTTCTTAAGAAAATGATTAGATGTATTGATTTTAATGATAAAGTTAATATCTTTTACTAAAATACCCTTATTTATTATAGTTAGTGGAGTAGTTGAAAAACGTGAAAGTTAATAAATAGGGGTATAGTAGTGGGAAAAAATAGTAAATGTTATATTGGTATTCTAAAGAGAAATTTATTTTGAGATGTAGAAAAAGTGAAAATGAGACGGAGGGAGTAACTTGTACCTATAGGGCTCTTGTTAATGAACCAAATATAGAAATATTGTATTGGAAATTGTGTATTCAATTTCTTGAAAATTTTAAAAATTGTTTTTTGAACACAACTTCTATTGTGTCCTTAACAAGTTCTCTAAGGGCACGTGTTAGCAAGATTCTTTTTTCTTTTGTAAAGTGACAGTCAATTTCAATACGCTTTGTTGTATCATGCTGGACAAGACGACAATCTATGCTTATTGTGGCCTTGCTATCACAATTCAAACGGGAGGTCAAATATCATCTTTAGTTCTTTTAGAATTCTAAGAATCTAGACCTTCACAAATTCCTTGAACCATTACTCTAAAGTCAAATTCAGCACTACTTCTCAACTACCTCTTGTATCTTGCTTCTTCAAGTTATCAAGTTTCCCACACATAGGTACAATAACCTCAAGTAGATTTCCCATTAATATCAGAACCTTCTCTATCTGCATCAGTAAAGATAACCACTTTCTTATCATTGATTTTTTCTAAGAATAGGCATTTTCCTTGGGTAGCCTTCAAGTATATTGAAATTCTATAGACAACCGCAAAATGCTCTTCATAAATAGAGTGTATAAACTCACCGACAACACTGACAAAAAAGGCAATCTGAAGGCGCGTATGAACCTAGTATATCATACTTTCATTTTAGATAAGTAGATTCCAATATTAAAATGAATTAGGTGCTTCTTTTTAAAATCAAGCATCTAATATGTCATGCCCACGGCATATGAAAATAATATTATTATTCTCATTGCCTTAGGTTCATTTGCCGCAATTTTTTGCTTTTGCATGCCTATGGCTTTTGATCATATTTCAGTTTAGTGAAACAGCTTTCTCTGTGTTAAGTGTAAACTCCCTTGTGTTAATGCTGTTTATGGTGCAGGACTGTTGCAGCCGATTTTGATGGGCTGAATGTGAAGTATCGGGAAGTTGACAAGGAAGTAAATGTTTTGCAGATGAAAATACAAGAAGTAGACAATAACTTATCTAAACACCGCAAGGATATGGAATGTTAGTTTTATCTATCATTTAAAGAATTTGTAGATAAATCATCTTCATTGCATTCTTTAACTGGAAAACTATATTAGAGTAAAAGTTTGGGTTTCTTGGTTTGAATCTCTGTATAGTTTTTACAGTGCCATTAAAGACCACATGATTCTGCCTAACAATAATAAGGCGATATTCATAAGAGAATAGAAATAAGCATTACACAGTGTTTGAGAGAGAAAATATTAACACATGTTGAACATCATGTATCTCAATTACATAACAAAGTCGATTTTATATAGCCTAAATACAATACATATAAAATAAATTGATAGATTTATGACAGTTCTGTTGTATAAATTGATAGATTTATGACAGTTCTGGTGTATCTGAATATATGTAAGTGCTATTTGTATTATTATCATGAATTCTTGGGAATAACTTCCTGCTGAGTTGGTTACGAGACAAATGATAATACAAACTTCTGCTAGCACAGAAACTAACTGTCAGATATTTACATAACCTCTAGGTAAGGTATTATAGATCTTAGTCTCTCCCAACTAAACCAACATAAAACTACCCATTGGGAATGTCCTCCCATCCTTATTCGATTTAAATGAACACACAATTACATTAACTTGGGCATGCTTCTAACATACACATAACTAATAGGAGGCTTACTAACAATATTCCCCCCAAATATTTCACCTTGTCCTCAGGGTGAAGAGGTGATTATGGCATCAAAAGATTCCCAAGTAGCTTCAAAGTCTGGTAAATCTTTCCATTGAATCAACACTTCAACATTCCCAACTGAATTGTTGTGCATTGCTTTGACGTCTTTGGACTCTACTTGTAATTTCAAGTATACTGACATGTTTGACAATGGTTGAGGATTGGCCACTGAGTGTGATATGCTTCTTCAGTAAAGAAACATGAAAGACTGGGTGAATTTTATTAGAGTATATGCAATGTAGTCTAAGCTAGTGTAAGCTAAACTAAGCCTCATGGCTATAACATACTTGTAACAGACTGTGCTGAGTCAGTACAGTCTAACTGAACTATAAATACTTAGTTTGTTATTCATTGTAACTAACTTTCATAGTTGCAAAATATTAATAATAGAAAATGCATTATTAGAAAGAGAAGTTGAGAAAGGAGAGAGAAGAGAGAGAGAGAGAGAGAATTCATTCTGTTATATCTTTTATCAACTTTTCATTAATTGAAAGTTGGTTACAACAAACTTGGCTAAGAGTTTATATAGGGTAACTAACTTGTGCTGACTCAACACAGTTAGTTACATCTTACGGTTTGCTACTTCATTTAGTTACAAGAGTTACAAGTCTTAATTAGACTGTTACTAGGCTATACACTATTATCTTCCCTTCAAATGCATGGTCACCTCTTGAGGGAGAGTTGTCCTGTCCATAACTTGGAATTTATCTCTGAGATGAAGAAACCTTGGAGGAGAGAGATGTTTTGTCAGTATGTCGTCATACTAGTGTGTAGCAGGAATATGAAGAACCTTTAGGATTTTGTGCATACTTTTCTCCCTTAGAAAGAAGATGTCCAATTCCATATGTTTTGTTTTGGCATGAAGGACATGATTATGAGAAAGAGCAACAGTGCTCAGGTTGTCACAAAATAAAATGGGAGTGATTCAGGGTACATGAAGTTCTGGAAGGAGGGACTGGATCCACAAGACTTCTGAGGCTGTGTTGGCAAGACTTCTAACTCTGTCTCTGTGCTGGACCTTGCAACCAAGGACTGTTTCTTGGACCACCAGGACACCAGATTAGGGCCTAGGTATATACATGACCCAGAGGTAGATTTTCTATCATCTGGGTCTGCACCTCAGTCAGCATACGAGAATGCTTTGAGAGAAAAGGGCATGAGAGTAGAAGCTGGTTTAAGTAATAAGCCATGAAGCAATGAGCCTTTTAGTTATCTGAGGATCCTTTTTACTGCAGTCTAGTGACTCTCAAAAGGCTGAGAGAAGAACTGGCGGACTTTGTTGACTACAAAGCTAATCTCAGGTCTTGTAATTGTGGCATATTGCAGTACTCATACTATGGACCTGTAGAAAGTTGGATCATTAAGATAGTTAGAGCCATGGTTTGAGAGTTTCGAATTTGAGATCATAGATGTAGGCAATCCTTTTGCTTCTGACAAATTTGCTTTTGTGAGTAAATGTCTTGGATACTTTGCTTGAGAGAGGAAAAGTGACCCATCAGGCTGGTGACTCTATACCTAAGAAATACTCAAGATTTCCCAACTGTTTGAGAGCAAACTGATAATTGAGTTTGTCTACTAGGGACTTAATGTGAGTCTTTGAGTTGCCTTACAATTATTTCATCAACATACACCAGCATCACAATGGTATATGTTGATTTAATTAGTGTGAACAAACGAGGAAGGATCACACTTGCAAGAAATAAAGCCAAGACTTTTTAGAGCACTCTTGAGCCTTTCAAACCAGGCCCTTGGTACTTGTTTCAAGCCATAGATGACTTTGTTGAGTTTGCACACTAACTGCTCGTTAGAATGCTTAAATCCTGGTGGTTGATTCATGTATACCTCTTCCTCAAGAACGTCATTGAGGAAGGTATTATTAACATCAAGCTGAGTGATGAACCATCTTCTAGATATAGCCAAGGTAAGAACAACCCTACGTTCATCTAGATATAGCCAAGGTAAGAACAACCCTAACTGTACCTGGCTTGACTACAGGAGAGAAAATTTCCATGAAATCAAATCCACGTTGCTGATGGAATCCCTTTGCCACCAATCTGCCTTTATATTTGTTGAGAGTTCCATCAGGATTTTGTTTAACCCTAAAGACCCACTTGCATCCAATAGCTTGCCTATTGGGTGGAAGAGTGATTAAGGTCCCATGTGTGAATGTTGAGCAGAGCCTCATGCTCAGCGGTCATAGCAGCTAATCAGTGAGGATATTAGAAAGCAACTCTGTAAGTAGGTTCCACTTCAGTGAGAAAGGTAGGACAAAGTCTAGGCTACACAATACCACATTTTCTTCTTGTGGCCATGGCATGAATATTATTGGGGTGAAGAAAAGGTAATGACAGTGGTTCAGAGGTAGACGTAGGCTGAGAAGTTGATGAGTGGTCAAGTTCTTGTGGGTGAGATGGAGTAATAGGCGAATGTTGTTGAGCTGGTGATGTGTTGGAAATATGTTGATTGGAATTCGGTGAAGGTGAAGTAGATGATGCACTAGACATATGATGGAGAGTTTTGAGTTGATGGTGAAGAGTGATATATTTTTGGTATGGAAATTTGAGTTGTGGAATTGGATGAAGTAGAGTTGGACATATGTGGTTCAGCTGCTGATGGAGATGTAGAGGCTATATTATTAGTTTGTTGGGATTCAATAGAAAATATGGAGGGTGTGGTGGATGACAGAGTGGAGCTAGTAATAGGACCATTATTAGTGGAAGAGAATAGTCGGGAGTAAGGAAACTAACCTCATTGAAAAGGACATCCTTTGAGATTTAAATTCTACCCTTAGTTGCAAACTTGCAAGGCATTTATAACCTTTGTGGCTAGGTGAATAACCAAGAAAGATGCACTCCATGGAGTGAAAGTTGAACTTGTGAGAAGAGTATGGCCTTAGGTGAGGATAGCTGGCACAACCAAACACTTTCAGCTGCTGATGGAGATGTAGAGGCTATATTATTAGTTTGTTGGGATTCAATAGGAAATATGGAGGGTGTGGTGGATGACAGAGTGGAGCTAGTGATAGGATCATTATTAGTGGAAGAGAATAGTTAGGAGTAAGGAAACTAACCTCATGGAAAAGGACATCCTTTGAGATTTAAATTCTACCATTAGTTGCAAATTTGCAAGGCATTTATAACCTTTGTGGCTAGGTGAATAACCAAGAAAGATGCACTCCATGGAGTGAAAGTTGAAGTTGTGAGAAGAGTATGGCCTTAGGTGAGATAGCAGGCACAACCAAACACTTTCAAAAACTTGTAGTCAGGTAAGTGCTTGTAGAGCTTGAAGAAAGGTGACTTCATGTCTTAAGACAGCAATAGGCATTCTGTTGATTAAAAATGCTGCAAGCATAACCCCAATACTTGAGAGGCAATCCTGCTTGAGCAAGTAGGGTGAGACCTATTTCAACCACATGTCTACGGTTGCGCTCAACCGAGCCATTTTGGTGATGTGTGTGGGGACAAGCAAATCTATGAGGACTCAGTTTTTTTATTAATTTTCTTGGCCAAAAATTTCAGCCTATATGGCTACCACTTGAGGTATACCCAATCCTCAACTGCCTATAGGGATACAACTTGAGATGAATCTTTTTCTCTAGTTGACCTGACTCACAAGGCAAATCAGATAACTTGGATAAGCCAACAGTCACTTCTAGAGTTTGGAAAGACCAGAATGACTCATTCGAGCACGATAATCAGTATGGGTCATTAGATTCACATCCAACACCAAGTGTCTGTCTCTAACTCCAGTCCTTCAGAATTAGTGTCTTTAGTAAAGGTAGTCAGACAATCATTAGACCACGTCAACTGACTAACCTAAAGTAAATTACTGGAGCACTCAGGGACGTTAAGGACAATATTGTCTATCAATGAAGGAAATGAATGGGCATTAGTTGAAACTTGAAAGTTATCATGTGTAATTAACTAGATTGAGCTTAGCGTAATTTATGTGTCTCTTGATATGGCTGATGATGCACAAGTTGTACTTGCTTTATTAATTTAACTTCTCCTTCGTCCAATAGTCTACTGTGCTTTCTTTCTTCAACCGTGTAGAATCACACCATTTGTACAAATAACTTTTTGCAGCAAGAAAGAGATTTATTGAATCCAAGCTTCAGTCTTCGGATCAGCAGTGTTCTGGAATCGATTCTTATCTCAAACATTTAGAGTCTGTCAAGGAGAAAAGAGATGTACAGAAAAGGTCAACTTATGCCAGACACCCATGAAGTCATTTTTGTGACCACATCTGATTGCTGTTTGTCTTGTCCCCGATTTTCTTGTCTCAAATGTACTAATACTTCTTCTGTTGATCGCCTGCAGCAAATATAACATTGCCGATGGTATGAGACAAATGTTTGATCCTTTTGAAAGGGTTGCTAGAGCTCATCATATTTGCCCCTGCTGCGAGCGTTCTTTCTCGCCAGAAGAAGAAGATAGTTTTGTCATGAAGGTTGGCACATTTTACATCCTATCATAATATACTGACCAATAACTTTATATGGTTTTGAATTAGCTTTCTCCCCTTCTTTTAATCACAGCAAAGAGTGAAAGCTGCCAGTTCAGCTGAACATATGAAAGTTCTAGCTGTGGAGTCCTCAAGTGCAGACTCTGATTATCAGCAGTTGGACAAGCTTCGAATGTGGTATGAAGAATATGTTAAACTTAGCAAGGAGACAATCCCTAATGCTGAAAAGGAACTCCAGCAAGTCAAAGAAGAGTTGGATCACAAATCCCAGACACTTGATGATGTAATCATTATACTTTCCTTTAAATATTTCTTTGAATTTTTTTTTTGTAGACTATCCCTTCATGCATGTCACTTTCTTCTTTAAATGTATGGTTTTCCCGGATGGTGATTATTAATTTTGTTGAGTCATACATATTTGTCCTTTTTTCTTGGTGCTAACTTGCTTTACCTTATACAACTGCTGTAACTTTGTCTTAGGCTTTAGGTGCTTTAGCTCAAGTGAAGACTGAGAAGGATTTGGTTGAGATGGTGCTGCAACCTGTTGAAAATGCTGATCAACGTTTCCTTGAAATTCAAAATTTGCAAAAGAAAGTTGAAGATTTAGAAAGTGAGCTTGGTTGTGGAGGACCAGGAGTGAGGACTCTAGAAGAAATTCAATCCGAGCTCGCTGCAGTGCAGGGAACAAAGTAAATAGATTCACTTGATTTCTACTTCTACCTTCGATTTTTATTATTTCGTTTTGCCATTTTTACAGATATTAAGAAATGTAGGTATTGTTATGAAAAAAAGTGGAGGATTTAACAAAATTAGCGCTCATTAATGGTATGAGAAAGATAAATTAAAAGAATGAAAAGAAGAGAGAATAATAAATAGTTAAGAGTATAATAGGAAGAGTATCATTAGTGATTCATTGGTATTATAAAACAACATATAATCTGGTACAATTTTTTTCAAAGTGACAATAAAAAACGGAGGGAGTATTTACTATACAAACAATTTTATAATCTAGATCCAATTTGAATAATTGAATTTTATCAACTTATCCTCATCTATCATTCCATATGTGCTTCTATCTCTTACCTGGTTTGATGTTGCTTACTCTTAATATGATTCTCGTATTTTGGTTACAAGGGACAATTTGAAAACCGAGTTGGAGAAATTGGCGGATGAGCAGATGGATATGCAGAAAGATATATCAAGTATTCAAACACGGCTCTTGAAAGCAAGGGATGATAAAATGAATGCAGAAAAGAAATTGCAAGGTGGTAAAAGATTAGAAGAAGAATTAGAATGCTTGAGGGAAGAAATGGTCCAAATTGATCTTGATGTGAAGGTTGTCTAATTATCTGAGACATTGATTACTTGATTTCAAGCGATAGGCATGTGCAATTGACATGGATGTGATAAGTTCTCTCAACAGAACACACAGATGCCTGTTATTATTTATTTCTTCCAAACTTCTTGTGGTGCACTGTACTGAGTTCATCTTTGAATTCATTATGTATTTGTCTATAGAAATTACCTCTTTCAAAATTCTCTACCTCAGTAAATAGCATTCTCTAGAGGAAAAAATAATAATCAGAAACCTGTTTCTCAAAAAACACTGTCTCAATCAAAATTCCAAAATTCATTTGTTGCTGCATTTTTAAAGATTGATGGAGTTTCTTTTCTCTGTATACAAAATCGTAATGCATAATTCCATCCAAAACCTTGGTATTTGCAGAGTCTGGTTGAAGCCGTTGAACCTTTATCCATGCACAAAGATAAAGTTCTTGCTGACTATAATGAACTGAAGATTAGACTTGACCTCGAGGTTGAGAATCTGGTTGAAAAAAAGAGAATTTTTCAGCAAGAAGCCGAAGCAGTTTTTAGAATGACTTCTAAGATCATAGAGTAAGCTTGTCACTCCAAATTGTTAATTTTTAAGAGTTCAATTTTTCGTAACAGAAGTTGTTATGTTCAGGTACTCTAATTTAAAGAAAGGAGACAAGTTGAAGGAGTTGCAGGAAAAGAAATCTCTATCAGAATCTCAACTGCAAAGTTGTGAAACCAGGATTCAGGAAATTATAGATGAACTAGACAAAAGGAAAGATTTGATGCGAAACACTGATCTGCTTAAAATAAAAATTGAGGACAACTTAAAGTACAGAGAAACAAAGGCTAAAGTAGATAAGCTATCATACGAAATTGATACACTTGAAGAAAATGTGTTGAAGGTTGGTGCAGTTTCCACAATTCAGACGGAACTTGCAAAATTATCGAAGGAGAGGGAGAGGCTTCTTGAGGAGGTATTTTCATATGCCAGTCATGCTTCTATGTTCGCGATTTGTAAATCGTTTGGCCAACTGCTATGATTGATGGACATTTTACCATTTGTATGCTCACATCTTTAGTAGTTATTTACATTTCCTTCTAGTACAGAATTAATACACCCTGTTTCTCCATTTTTTTGTACCGCTACATCCATGACAGTTAAACAGGTGCAAAGGAACAGTGTCTGTTTACCAGAGCAATATTTCCAAAAATAAGATTGATCTAAAGCAGGCCCAATACAAGGACATAGATAAGCGATATTTTGACCAGCTTATTCAGCTTAAGGTGTAATGTGATGTTATATTTCCTGTGTATGTTTTATACGATAGTATTTAATACTCATTGTCAATATAAAATTGTTAACAACTCGACTTTTCCTTACAGACAACAGAAATGGCAAACAAGGACTTGGACAGATACTACAATGCTCTTGATAAGTGAGTTTCAGTAATGTTTATCATCACAACTGTCCAGTTTGTATTCTTTGACATGTTTTCGTCAATAGTCATGGTTTTGCAATGTATAATCAATTTATTAAGGTTGCTTCGATTGACCTCCCAAGGCCAATTCTCTCATGATCGTTTGTTCCATTTGCTTCAAAAGTTGAGACATTATCCACTTCATTTTGCAATGAGAGGTGAAGGGATTGCTTGGAAGTTTGGTGTAAGCTGTTGGGTGGGGCTGGATATTGCTGCATTTATATATGACGTTTCGTTTTGCCATTTGCATGCCTGGATGTAGGCATGACAACAGAGATGCTTGGATGTTGCCATTAACGGGGAAAAACTAATTTAACGGGTGCAGGGAAAACATGAACTTCAAAAATGGTGCAGGGAAAACACCTTAAGCTGAAAACCGCCTCTACCCTGCCCCGTTGCCATACATATTTAGATGTATGTATCGTGGGTTGTCGTCTAAGTGTCTAGCCATCATTCTTTCCGACTTGGAAAAAGAATGCTGAATTACACTTTTGGTCCCTTGAGCACTGGTGTTTGAATTTGATCACATTAGCTATTTGGAGTTAATTGTGGTAAGGCTAGGTGAATCAAAAGTATAATTTAATTGACTCACTTTGTATTTAGTTCATATTGTGAGCCTAATTGCTTTCTTCCATTTGAAAAAAAGGAAGAGGCAAAGGGAAAGTGAGGGGATGATTATCCCCCAAACTCTACAGGGAGTTTCTTTTTCTTTATAATACAAAATATTCCTAATATGGAAAACTTAAAAAATGCATTCAAGGATGATTTTGGAAAGTTTAGCAAAATTCAAATATTTTTCATTCATTTATAATTGTTAGAGATAGTTTCTATTAAGGCATGACAGCTGGCACCTGTACTAGCTGTCATGCTGTTAGTTTCTGTTATGCATGCTGTTAGTTTATATTATAACAATATGCAATTAGTTTCTGTTATGCATGCTGTTAGTTTATATTATAACAATATGCAATTAGTTTCTGTTATGCATGCTGTTAGTTTATGTTATAACAATATGCAGTTAGTTTCAGTTATAACAGCTCATCGAGTTCAGGAACTGTTCCCTTGATTTAAGGGAGTTAGTTAGAAGTTAGTTTAGCCTAACTACAACTATATAAATAGAGTTGAATCTATTGTTTTCAGTAACAATGAAATCATAATAATAGATTCTAAAATTTTAATAATACTCAACTAAAAATATATTAATCATAATCATTGTTTATAGGAACAGTCAAATAAGGTGAGATTTCATTATTTTTCCCTCTCCTTCCCTTTTTCCAAATCCAATTCCTTCCCTCCCCAAACTTCTAAACAGGGACTTGAGAAATTACGAAAGCATATTAGACTGTTCATTTGTTGTGTTCTAGTATTATAAATTGATAAAATTGGATACTTTATGATAAATTATTAGTGAAAATCTACATTTATATATGTTCCATATCATTCATCATTCAGAGCACTGATGCGCTTCCACACAATGAAAATGGAAGAAATCAACAAAATTATAAGAGAATTGTGGCAACAGACATATAGAGGACAAGATATTGATTGCATTAGTATTCATTCTGATTCTGAAGGTGGTGGCACCCGATCCTACAGTTACAGGGTTTGTCATCTATATGTTGAACACTGGTTACTTCAAATATTTCTAATTTTCCAATACAGATATTGAAATATTGTTTTTTTCTATGCCATATAGGTTCTCATGCAAACTGGTGATGCAGAGTTAGAAATGAGAGGAAGATGTAGTGCAGGTCAGAAGGTATGTTATGTTATCACTGGGAATCGCAACAGAGTTTTTTTTTTCAATCAAAAAGTTTTTTTTTGGTTGAACACTTTAAAATTTAGTTAAACTAAAATAAGCTTGACTTGTTTGTGAGGTTCCAGGTACTGGCATCTCTTATCATACGATTGGCCTTAGCGGAAACATTTTGCCTCAATTGTGGAATTCTTGCATTGGATGAACCAACCACAAATTTGGATGGACCAAATTCTGAAAGTCTGGCTGCTGCTATCCTAAGGTTTGAATGGAATCGTCTTGTTCTGAGTATATAGCTAACGGTGATTTTTTTTGCTTATCTACTGCTATCTTTCTTGACATGCAGGATCATGGAGGACAGGAAAGGCCAGGAAAATTTTCAGCTAATTGTAATTACTCATGATGAGCGTTTTGCTCAACTGATTGGTCAGCGCCAGCATGCAGAGAGATATTATCGAGTTGCAAAAGATGACTAGTAAGGAGAAAATGCTAATGTTTTGTTTTCAAGTTACTTTTGAAACACATTCACGACTTTTACCCATGAGTAAATTTTGTACAATGCTTCTTTAACTTGTATATCTCACATTTTCAGTCAGCACAGTATAATCGAATCGCAGGCGATATTTGACTGAAGAATGGATTTTATTTAATGTTTCTCCTATGAAGTGGCTTGTTGGAGGATTGACAGATTTGTTGAACCAGACATATCTCAAGTTATTGTTGGCGAGGTATAGGATACTGAAGATGATATCTCCCAGTTAATTAAAAGTCTGACACTTGTATTTGTACGCTAATATTTCTGTAAGTTTGTTTATATGTTTGGTATTTCATCCTTTGTAGCCAATTGAAGTTTTAAAATTACATCTGTTAAAAAACCAACGGTTCCTCTTAACTGATGAAGGTATTTATATAATGGGATCATAATCATTGTGACAACACCATTAAACCATGACAGTTAACTAAACCTATTTAGTAGTTCTCAGTCGGAAACTACATGTCCATTTCTCAAAAATTAGTTCTTACCATTTTGTACACTAAATTAGAACCAATTTAAACTCTTAATGTCACAGTTTCTCAATTCTCAAAATTAAAACATCAGAGCCTCATTCTCAGTTAAAAATTAAACAATCTTGATTTAAATCATGTTCTCAATTCTCATAGAATCTTGTTTGAATCACATTCTCAGTTTATACCAAAGCACCTGTAAGTTATTAGTTCTCACCTTGTCCTGTGAAGAATCGTCCTTGTTCGTCAAAGAAAGTGTGGTACAAATTTAGTCCTTAGATGTCATTTCTGAATGTTCTGCGTCTTTGGGTTCAAGAAATCTCAGATGTACTTTTAAGTAAATTTTAATAATGTTTTTATTAAGTAACTAGTCCCATGTCATAAAACTACAAATATAATTTAGCTGAGTTTTTTGTTTTTTTTTTGTTACAAACTTAAAAGAGAGAAAAGGAAACTACAATCTCTCGTTAATGAGTTTAATTTTGAGAATATTAGACTCATTAACCCCCACCACCACTTGTCTGTCACAACCAACATTGAGAATTGTTGAAATACAAGAGACTAAGAGACATTTGAATAAACCGTGTGTTTTGAAAAGCACTACAGAGACATTATTATATATAAACAGAATACAAGTAATTACATGATATAGTCGATGTGAGACTATTCTATATACAAATATTCTCAACACTATATATATATATATATATATATATATATATATATATATATATATATATATATATATATATATATATATATATATATATATATATATATATATATATATATATATATATATATATATTTTTACACATATCAACACTCCCCCTCAAGCTTGAGCATATAAGTCAAATGCACCAAGCTTGTTACATATATAGTTAGTTCTGGGGCTTCGTAGGGATTTTGTAAACACATCTGCCAATTGATCATTAGAGTTGACAAAGCTTGTGACGATGTCGCCTGACTCGATCTTCTTTCTGACAAAGTGACAGTCTATCTCAATATGTTTGGTTCTCTCATGGAAGACTGGATTTGAAGCAATGTGCAATGCAGCTTGATTATCACAAATAAGTGTCATTGGTCTTGCTTCTTCAATTTGAAGTTCCTTGAGCAACTGTTTTAACCAAATAAGTTCACATGTTGCCATTGCCATGGCCCTATACTCTGCCTCGACGCTTGATCTTGCAACTACATTTTGTTTCTTACTTTTCCAGGAGATAAGATTTCCTCCAACAAGTACACAATACCCAGAGGTGGATCGTCTATCAATGGGTGACCCTGCCCAATCAGCATCAGAGTATCCAATTATCTGGGTATGTCTTTTATCCTCATACACAAGACCTTTTCCTGGAGCACATTTGATGTATCTCAAAATCCGAATAACAGCATCCATGTGTTCCTGACAAGGGGAATTTAAGAACTGGCTTACCACACTGACTGCAAAAGAAATGTCCGGACGAGTGACTGTGAGATAATTCAACTTTCCAACCAATCTCCTATATCTTCCTGAGTCAGATAAAGGCTCCCCCTGATTGGGTAGTAGTTTAACACTTGGATCCATAGGAGTATCAGCTGGTTTAGCATTTAACAAACCTGTTTCTTCCAAAATATCCATAGCATATTTCCGCTGAGAAATGACCAAACCATCTTTAGATTGGGCTACTTCAATACCCAAGAAATAGCGGAGTTTACCAAGATCTTTTGTCTGAAATTGTTTCGAGAGATGTTGTTTCAACTGGAGTATTCCCTGCTGATCACTACCAGTTATGACAATGTCATCTACATACACAATAAGATAAATACACCCTTGGGGTGAGTGACGATAAAAAAACAGAATGGTCAGCTTCACTACGGATCATACCAAACTGTTGTACTACAGTGCTGAATCTGCCAAACCAAGCTCTCGGAGATTGCTTAAGACCATAAAGAGACCTGTGTAGCCTACAAACCATATTCGATGACTCCCCCTGAGCAACAAACCCAGGTGGTTGCTCCATATATACTTCCTCTTCAAGATCACCATGTAAGAATGCATTTTTGATGTCAAGTTGATGAAGAGACCAATGTCGAATGGCTGCAATGGCTAGAAGAAGTCTAACAGATGCCATCTTGGCTACAGGCGAGAAGGTATCACTATAATCCAACCCAAAAATTTGAGTGTATCCTTTGGCTACCAAGCGGGCTTTAAATCGATCAATCTTGCCATCTGGACCAACCTTCACTGTGTAAAGCCAACGACAACCTACTAAAGATTTCCCATGGGGTAGAGGAACCAGTTCCCAGGTACCACTGCTTTGAAGAACACACATTTCATCAATCATTGCTTGCCTCCACTCAGGGTGAGATAATGCTTCACCTGGAGTTTTAGGAATAGAAACAGAAGACAAAGAAGACAAACAAGTATACTGCAAAGGGGAAAGACGATGATAACATAAATCAATATAATGTGGAGAAGGATTTCGTGTTTGACGTATACCTTTTCGAAGGGCAATCGGAAGATCAGACTCAGGTTGCAAGGTCGAATCCGGTGATGGCGAGAGCGTCGGAGGAGAGTCTGTAGTGACCTCAGGGACATGTACGACTTCAGGGACAGGTACGACCGTAGTGACCTCAGGGACAGGTACGACTTCAGAGACAGGTACGACTTCAGGGATAGGTACGACAGACTTTGGGTGACAACGCTGATATGTTTGAAGTGGGCGAGGAGTGGGGGGGTCAACCGTAGGGGTAACTAGTGGGTCAGATTCCCTAGAATGATGGGGGATAATGACAGATGGGACTTCCGAAAGAGGTGTGGGAATACTTTCCTATAAAGGTTCCGTAGTAACTTGGCTGGATTCGAAATATGGAACAGACTCGAAGAAGGTAACATCGGCGGATACGAGGTATCGTTGTAGAGTATGTGAGTAGCAACGATAACCTTTTTTGGATCGATGATAGCCAAGAAAGACACACTTTAGTGATCGAGCTGATAGTTTATCAAGACCAGGGGAGAGATTATGTACAAAACACGTGGACCCGAAGACTCGAGGAGGAATTGGGTGGAGTGGAGAGTTTGGAAACAAGATTGAATGTGGGATTTTATTATTAAGGACAGATGATGACATGCGATTTATGAGGTAACATGCCGTGAGCACTGCATCTCCCCAAAACCGGAGAGGAACATTACCATGGAGAAGTAGGGTCCGAGTGGTTTCTACGAGGTGCCGATTTTTGCGTTCGGCTACCCCGTTTTGTTGGGGTGTATGAGGGCAAGATGTTTGGTGCAAAATACCATTGGATGACATAAATGTTTGAAATTGTTGGGATAAATATTCACGTGCATTGTCACTTCTTAAGGTACGAATAGACAAACCAAATTGGGTTCTTATTTCTCGATAAAATTGTTCAAAAATGGAAAATAATTCAGATCTATTCTTCATTAAAAATAACCACGTGCAACGTGAAAAATCATCAATAAAGGTGACAAAATACCTAGACTCAAGAGTAGAGACAATACGCGAGGGACCCCAAACATCGGTGTGAACTAAAGCAAAAGGGGACGAAGCTCGTTTGTTGACTCGACAGGGAAATTGACTACGAGTGTGTTTCTCTAATTGACACGACTCACAATGTAAATTAGATACCTTCGATAAATTTGGCACCAACTTATGTAATTTGGAAAGACTGGGATGACCTAACTGAGCATGGATAGTGAGTGGAGAATTTTTGGTTGAGCATGTCTGAGATGACAATGAAAGGTAGTAAAGGCCTTGAGACTCATATCCGACGCCAATCGTCTTTCCCGAACTCCGATCCTGCAGGGTAACATTATTATTAGTGAAGGTGATACTACAATCAAGAGAACGAGTTAAACGACTAACTGAAAGTAAATTAAATGGACAATTAGGTACATAGAGGACAAAATTAACAGATAGAGAAGGTAGAATTTGAACAGTACCAATCCCTTCGGATCGGGTTTGAGAACCATTGGCCGAAGTTATAGTAGGTAAGAAACCAGAGGTAGAGAGGGAAGAGAACAAATTTTTATTACCAGTAACATGATCAGACGCACCAGAATCAAGGACCCAAGGTCGAAGAGGAGATGATTGAGAGAGGCAAACAGATAAATTACCAGTGTGTGCTACCTTAGCAGTAGAATCTGAGTTCTGATAATTCTGATACCACCTGAGGAAATCATCGTAGTTTGGCGTAAAGTTCTGAGGAGTAGCCATGAGTATCTGAAGAGAGAAAATATCACGCGATCGACCGCTGGCCGGACGTGCTGTCACGTGCGTTTCAGGTGGCGGCGCTTGATGCCCACGCGCAGAAGTTTGCCGGAAGGTCGTTGAGAATAGCAACGACGGTGGCAGCTATGCGGTTATGACCGGAGAATTTTGAAAAGTGAGGCAAACCGGAGTGACAACACGGTTTGCAAAAATTTTTTTTTTTTTTTTTTTTAAAATTTCTCACCGGAAGACAGTGGGTCAATCGGGTAAAGCACGACAGCGAAAGAATTGCCTCTTAGCAGGCTCTAAATACCATGTTGAAATACAAGAGACTAAGAGACATTTGAATAAACCGTGTGTTTTGAAAAGCACTACGGAGACATTATTATATATAAATAGAATACAAGTAATTATAT